ACCTCAATGGGAAGATTCAAAAAACAATACCAAGTGAATTTAAAACAATTATACTATCTCATATATATTTTTTATTTTAACACAGATATTGGTACAAGGAGGCACCAAATACATATGCACCACACAAATCTCATTTGATATGTGTGAGGGCTGTGATACTGCTCGGGTGCCCAAACCGAAGCAGGTGATTTTCTCAGGGGGCCACACTCGGGGTTTTCGACCTGAAGGTCTGATCCACAAGGCAGTGGAGCAACGTAAGGAGATGCAGTCTCATGGTAGCCGATGACCAACGATTGGTTCATACGCCATTTGTTCCTTCAGAATGCTGGAGCCCATGTGCACCATTGGTTTGGAATCAGGGTTTTCCAACTCCCTTAGGTGGACTCTCCATGTCCACCGACCCGGTTAGAGCGCCGGACATTCGCTTTTCGTCTTCTCAACTTCGTAAACAACACCCCCGCCACGAGAAGGCAGTGAGTAGGACTTCCTTAGCAGAGGCTGTATACGCGTGGCTATGTGAGAGCATTTTGAGAGGGAGAGCGGACTCTCGGCCGTACCAAAGCATTTGAGGGCAGGACAACCAGTGTAGAAGCAGCGTCTGCAACATTGGGCTTCAACATACACTAAGGAATTAGTGGTGGAGAAGCTCTGGGAGATGTGGAATCTTTCACGTACCTGGACATTGTCGATGAACAAGAGGGATTCGATGCAAACGATAAGGCCAGGATTGGCAAAGCAAAGATAGTATTCCTACAGTTGACGAACATATGGAAAGCAAACCAACTGTCAACAAATATCACAGTCAGAATCTTAAATGCAAACGTCAAGTCAGTTCCATCATACGGAGCTGAAACGTGGAGAACTACTACAACCACCATCAAAAACGTACAAATATATCTAAACAATCGTTTACTCGATACTGAATGGCAGGATACTGCCAGTAACAGCCTACTGTGGGAGAGAAACCAGCTTCCATCTGAGGAAGGAATTAGGGAAAAACGCTTAAAGTGGATAGGACGCACATTGAGGAAATTAAGTTGAATCACGAGGCTAGCCCTAACTTAGAATCTTGAAGATAAAAAAGAAGAGTAAAGAAAACACTGCGTCGGGAATTGGAAGCAGATATGGAAAGAGAGGAATAGCAACTGGAAAGGATTGCACAGGACAGAGTTGAATGGAGAACGCTGGTGGGTGTACCATGATTCTGAAGGAAAGGTAACAGGTGTGAGTAACTCTTGTTACTTTCATGCCTTAATGTTTATCTTTTTGCTTCGCCATCACTGTAGGTCAAATTCGAGAGCAGTATTCACATCCTAATTTCAATGTTGTTTTAGCGGGTCAACATTAGGACTCTTAATTGATGAATGAGCATAGCATTAAAACCATTACTTAAGTTGTTTGTAGTTAGATTCAAGTTATTTAGTGGTTTGACCTTAAATTTCACTCAACTGACAACATAAATAAAGATTATTATGGTTTATGAAACTAACAACGAAATAGATATTAAGATTCAGTTTAGAAGTTAGTTTATTCAAACAAAATCTCGTTTAAACAATCTCAATAAGCTATTTTAAATAATTGTCGTCAGTACATTTATACCAAACAGAAAACCATGCATTTACCATTGAAAAATTGTAAAAGAATGTGTGAGCACATTCTAAGGAATAAAGATATAGTACATATTTCTCGCTTAATTCAATAAATAATAGAAATTCTTTCAAATCGCCACAACACTTATGTCTTCAAAGGTTTCATAAAATAAATTGCTAATTCTAATAACTAAACTTTATTAATGTTAACTTTAATAAATTATTTAAAAACTGAAAAAATATTTTCTCAATTCAGTTTCATGGATAAACTTAAATTTCCTTTTAACGATTAATCTTCGCCCCCAAATGCCCTGGTACAGCCGAGAGTCCGCTCTCCCTCTCAAAATGCTCTCACATAGCCACGCGTATACAGCCTCTGCTAAGGAAGTCCTACTCACTGCCTTCTCGTGGCGGGGGTGTTGTTTACGAAATTGAGAAGACGAAAAGCGAATGTCCGGCGCTCTAACCGGGTTGGTGGACATGGAGAGTCCACCTAAGGGAGTTGGAAAACCCTGATTCCAAACCAATGGTGCACATGGGCTCCAGCATTCTGAAGGAACAAATGGCGTATGAACCAATCGTTGGTCATCGGCTACCATGAGACTGCATCTCCTTACGTTGCTCCAATGCCTTGTGGATCAGACCTTCAGGTCGAAAACCCCGAGTGTGGCCCCCTGAGAAAATCACCTGCTTCGGTTTGGGCACCCGAGCAGTATCACAGCCCTCACACATATCAAATGAGATTTGTGTGGTGCATATGTATTTGGTGCCTCCTTGTACCAATATCTATGTGTTCAAATAAATAAACTCTGGATTTGAATACAGTTGCTATGAACAATTCAGACTAAACTTAACTAGAAGTCATAAATAAAGTTCTTTCCACTAAGAATACAGATAAGTTCAAATTAAACTTATAAATGGAAATGTATCATTTGTCCTTTACAGTTCACTCCAACAACGAGGAAACCAGATTGACTTGTCGCCGTGAAAAAAGAACTTATATAAAGAAATGTAAAAGTTTAAAGAAAAGAACTAATGAACGCAAAGGGATATTTCGATTTGACTATACTGATGAAGCAGATGGACACAGTAGTCTGTTTTATGCATACAATCAGACATTCGTTGCGGTCTACTTATATTCATGTGCGGCAGATGGATTCACTACGATCTATCACGGGCAGAATAGACAAACAATACAGTCTAGCTCTAGGATAATTTCACTTCCGTACCATATGCAGAAACTTTTATGCAAACCAAAAGCGCTGATGAGCTATTAATGAATGCGCCGTTATAGAATGTGGAACTCTCTCCTAAGTATATTGTATATGTATATATGAAATGCACATATCAGATATATGTACATTCCAGTGATATACACAGGCATAAATGGCCGTGATCGCCAGTATGCGTCACATGTAGTCACAGAATGTTTAAACAGGTCTATACTCTCCATAAGTACATATTGGTATAGAAGCTTCCGCTCGCAATTATACGTCACATGCATATAGGGTGTACAGGCCGATACCCATGAATGCGATCACTCCAGGCCGTAGCCCAGCTGCCTCCAACACTAAATGAATAACAGGTAATCAAATCAATTCGAAAATAAGTCGTCACATACGATATCCCTCCTTCATTCTCATCACACAAACAAGTTTGATGTCAACCCCTGCGCACTGGTTATGGCACAGTTTGCGGTCCACGCTCTCCGCCAACCCAACGAGACCTATTGGTTCTATTCAGAGATAATCTTGACACAGAACAAGAGGGAATTTCTCTTTTCTTTGTAATATCACATTTATCTCAACAAAACTTATTTTCCTTCAACCCATATATGATACAGAGTGGGTGATTAGCCCAATCTCCACCTTAACGCTCGCATTAGCTCATTGGAAAAATGTCCTCCACTAACCGAAGAGCACTACGGTGACGTGCAAGTCGATTTTAGCCTCCCATTATGTATGATATACTTTTGAACACTACAAGTACTTCAGGGATACTCTCCCAAGGAAGTATAGTATTTCGCATGAAGGGATAATTGCATACCTAATATTCGCATTCAGCCAGTCAACTATGTGGAATATAGGGCCTAGCACGTATATGCATCTGTTCAGATTACCGCAACATATTAGCTCAGTAAGACGAAAATATTAAGATAAATCCCGGGGTAGTAGGAGTAGAATAATGTAAGTAGTAGTAGTAGAAAACACTAGGCATGGAAAGAAAAAGATTTGTAAGAACATTTTCAAACTCTGGATCTAGAGGAAGACAATAAGTGAATACCTCTACCTCATCGTGATCGATTCTGAGCCTTGTCACTCAAAGTCTTCAACTAGTGGTTACGGTAACTGAGCTCACTTCAGCCGAGTAGTCTGCATATCCCTAAATACACTAGTCAGGAAGTCAATTACTTGATGGACTGATCCTATGTTATGATTCAACCATTCCTAGCTTTCTTCCACCCCAACCATACACCAGATAACATCGCCCGTCGAGGTATTCAGTGTTTAGGCACAGGTAATGCGTGTTTCAACTAATTCATTTGATTAAGGTTCTCATCAAACGATTTTCAATTCTTTCCTATTACACTATGGTTAACCCCATCATTCTTCCCTCGTTGTTCCCAACGTACACGAAAAATGCTTAGTTACTGAGTCCTGAGTGAACATCAACTGTAAGATGCCGATATATTGAGCTGACCAGTCTCAAATAGGAATAAAACGCGTGTCCTGAATTCTATTGCCAGCCATTATCCATCTTTGCTTATAATGCTTGTGAATTAAGGTAATATAGAGACGACAATCCGCACTGTATGCACATATGCCAATAAGTGATTGATCAATTGCAGTCCTGAATATCAACAAGAAGATTCAAGTAAATGATATCAAGCGTTTTCATATATATTTGGATCTTTTTAAAGAACAATTTGCTATTCATTTGCTTAGTCAACTAAATTTCAATATTTTTATTTGTAATATAACACTATTATTATTATTGTTTTTTTCTGTTGTGCAAAACGTCATTCACATGATTCAAAGTACTTAGACTATGTTGACCGAGTTTATAATGCCTTTTATTATATTCTGCATATGTTTTCCACAGAAAATGTGAAAACAAACATATACAATGATCGAATTAGCATTTCTTTACTTTCCTACAATGTATATACAAATAAATTATTCTCCACCCTATGGTTATTCTTTTCTTTTTTTATTTTTAAGAATAGAATTATATTCTTCAGACATTTTATAGTCTCTATATCGAAATTAACTTTGTCAAGTTTCATTTAGGACACAAATCAATAAACATATGTTGTTGTGTACATGTAATTATGGAAACCTCTCTATTTATATGCAAAGTTCACAGTCCAGGCACGAATACTTATCTCCAAACCAATTAGAATATTAGAAATATATATGTATAAAATCATTAAATATTTCTTTCATATTTAATCATTTGATTTCATTATATAAAATGATAAATAAAACAATCAATTAAATGGATACAATGGATACTACAACTAATTCAGATAAACATTCAATAATCCCATCATCATCATCATCCTCAACAACAACAGCAACACCATCATCATCATCATCATCATCCTATACATCTAATCAACATAAAATTAAACGATTAAAAATCTTACAAGAAATTGAAGATCGTAAATTTCAATTAAATTATAATCGTTTAATGAAAGAACAAAATAAAATCTGTAAACAACTTGATATACAACGTTTACAATTTACTAGAAGATTTTCTGAAACAAATTTTAATTTATCATTAGATGAGTTACCATGTAAATTATTAAAAAATGATAATATCATATTAGATGTTAAAAAATTTAAACAACAACCACCACCACCACAACAACAACAACCATCACCACAGCAACAACGTTCTATAACAATTAATGATCATGTACATTCATATTATGATTTGAATTCACAAGATAATATTCATGATAATGATTATTTAAATCAACCATTTTGGTTAAGATTACGTTCATTAGGTGTACCATCTGATGAAGATACATTATTAGCTGCATTAACATGTAAAAATATGAATATTGATAATCAATTAGAATCTAATCATAATGAAGATGATGTATTTGAATCAAATTGTAAATCATCAATCATAAATAATCAATTAACAAGAAGAATTTCAAGAAATATAGAAAAACAACGTTCTTCAAGTGTAACTGGAGCTGATGAAATATTGAAAAATGTATTAACTAATAATAATAATAATAATAATAATATAAAACGAATTAAACGTTCATTAAGTTTAGAAGAGAAAACACCGAATTGGTTAGTAACATTAAATCAAATGAAACGTGATAAATTATCTCGTACTAATTCAAATAAACAAGAAGAAATAACAGCATTATTTAAAGGTAATAAATTCTATGGTAATAATAAACGATCAAATGTACTTACTATTAAATATCAATCACGTAATGATCGTCTTATTAAATCACATAGACATACTATTGTTGGTATAACACATGAATTTACACCATTATAAAACAACAAAAACCAAAAATATTGAGAAATAGTAATTTATAAAAAAAAGGTTTCATTGTTTGTTTGTTTAATTAAGTTTCATTGTTTGGTTTGGTTTTTTGTTGTTGTAATATTTACATTCTATTAATTGTAGTAAGTTTCTTTTATTACATACTTTATTCAATTTTAATATATTCAATATAAATATATAAATACATATCTCTGTATTTAGATGAATTGAAAAATTGAATTTATAATAAAATTATATAATTTTTAATAATTAATTATCCCCAAATACCCTGGTATGGCCGAGAATGGGGTGGGCCCGCCCTCCCTCTCGAAATGCTCTCACATGGCCACGCGTATACAGCCTCTGCCACACAAGTCCTACTCAGTGGCTTCTCGTGGCGGGGGTGTTGTTTACGAAATTGAGAAGACGGAAAGCGAATGTCCGGCGCTCTAACCGGATCCCAAGCCAATGGTACACATGGGCTCCAGCATTCTGAAGAAACAAATGGCGTATCAACCAATCGTTGGTCATCGGCTATCATGGGACTGCATCTCCTTACGTTGCTCCACTGCCTTGTGGATCAGACCTTCATGTCGAAAGCCACGAGTGTGGCCTCCTAAGAAAATCACCTGCTTCGGTTTGGGCACCCGAGCAGTATCACAGCCCACACACAAACATAATATTGATAATGAAAATGATGGTATTTACTGAAGACTCTGTGTGGCGCATATATATTTGGTGCCCTCTTGTACCAATATTTATGTGTTCAAATAAATAATAAATTAACAGTTATATTCACAAGTCAATCTAAGCTAGATCACTAATGAAAATCTAGAAGTACTAGATGATCGTTTCATCCTAGTGTATGACTTTCTCAGTAGTGTGCATCATGAATTTGAGTCCTGTGTGAGGAGTTCTGGATGCGCAATTCTGAGGAGTCCCATACTAGAATAAAACGGCTATCCAGTTTTTCACGGATGATCCAGACTAGATTGACTAGTGAATTTAACTGTTTAAACGAATTATTTGTATTAAATATGAACGTAATAATGAATATGAAAAGTAGTGTCTCTCTTTTTTTTTACTCAAATTCAATGATTACTTACTTAATTACTTGCAGTTTGATGATTTGTGTAATGTATGACCTATCCATTTCCATCGTCTTTTCCTAATTTCTTCTTCAACTGGAAGCTGGTTTGTTTTCTCCCAAAAAAGGCTGTTGCTGATGGTATCCGGCCATCTTGCGTAGACAACTATTTATAAATATCTGTAAATTTCTGATGATGGTTGCAGCAGTTCTCCAAGTTTCAGTTCCGTATAATAGAACTGTCTTGACATTCGTATTGAAGATTGTGACTTTGATATTGGTTGAAAGTTGTTTTGAGTTCCATATGTTCTTCAACTGTAGGAATGCGACCCTTGCTTTGCCAATCCTTGCCTTTACGTCTGCATCTGAACCTCCTTGTTCATCGATGATGTTTCCCACGTACATGAAGGATTCCACAGCTTTCAGAGTTTCGCCATCAAGTGTGATTGGATTGCTGTTCTCCGTGTTGTATTGGAGGACCTTGGTTTTCTTATTGTGTATGTTGAGGCCTACTGATGTAGAGACTGCTGCTACACGAGTTGTTTTTATCTGTATTTGTTCTTATGTATCGGATGGGAGGGCTAGATCATCTGCGAAATCCAAATCGTCTAATTAGTTATAAGCTGTTCATTGTATTCCGTGTTTCCCCTCAGATGTCGAGGTCGTCATAATCCAGTCGACCACCAGAAGAAAGAGGGAACTTTTAACTCGCTAAAAAAACACTAACCAGGAAAAATAAATTCAGTGATGCTATTCGTTAAATCAATTGAATAATATATTATGTAATTACATTTACATATTATATTTTCATGATATAGCAGTAAGCTGATATTTTGATAAACAATCTAGACTGATTATCATTAGTAGACTAGTAGGTTTTACTATAAAAGCTTATTATGAATTGAGTAATCATTAAGAACTAAATTAAATTTACGATTTATTTTTCTTAAGTCAAATCAGTTGACCAGGTTATAATTATACTATTGATTTGAATTCTATAATTATTGTCAAATATAATCAAATTGTGATTTTGTATCATTTATCGTATATTTTCATACAAGTTAACATATTTCAGGAATGACTGGTTAAGTTCGAACATTGAAATCAATCAATGAAATAGTGATTTAGTGACTAAGTAGTTCGACTATCAAACATTATTTCATAGGTTCAAACATATTTATCCATTATCAGAATGGAGATGTGTGGAGATTGTAGTAATTTTAAAAGTTGAATTCATGAGTCGATCTAAGTTAGACTACTATTGAAAACCCGAAAGCACTTTATTCCCGATCTGATTTTGATGCACAGAGAAGCAATTAGGAATTTATTCCTTGAAGTTTGGACATTTTAGACGGAAACTCTGCACTTAATAGTTTATCTCTCCATGATCTTGACGCCGTTTTTGTTAATTTTACTTCGTCATCAGATGTTCGATATAGAAAGAAACACCTATTTCTTTGTAGTTTAGCGTAAGCTAGACAGTGGTATGTACAGTGTAGAACACTGTGATCACATTGAACTAATGTTAGATTTGAAATCAGTTTTATCACTAACATACTCCTTAAGAAAAAGCATCTTAGTTAACTGGGTTATTGATTTGTTTTTGATATTCACTGGATAGTAAAACAGAATAATCGACTTTACAAGTGTATTCGATTTTAACAATAGAACGAAAGTCATGTGTTGTGTACCTTAATCAACGAGAACTCAAGTGTAGTCAACCAATCTATTGCCGCATACAACATTACAGAATATCTTGGTAAAATATAAGAACCATACACTTAATATTTCATTTTCAACTTTCCATCATTTGTCCTTCATATTCTTTATGATTCTTCCAGTTCATAATTCCTTTCTGTTTCCCTTTCAATTCTGTTCAACTCAATCTTCTTAGCCTTCTGCTGTCAGGTTTTTCAGTTCTGTTTGATGTTACATATTTGTCGACAGTACCAGGATTAAGATATCCAGCAATAAAACTTTTAATTAACAATAAAAAGTAGGAAATTTGTATTTAAGAAAACATTAATTGTAATTGACTTGGTTACTATTTGAATTAAATTTATGGAATACAAACAGATTTAAAAAGATATAAAACAGATTGAAAAACAATACGTATCAGAATATGCAAAGATGCTCATATGTTGAATAGTTTATATCCATACTCACCATCTACTATGAATTCATGGCGTACTGAATCATTCAAATGTTATATGAGTTTAGTAAATGTCATAACAATAACATGTGGCTTGTGCACGACTTCAATTCCAAGAATTGTCATGGTGAAGAAGTTCTGAAGATTTGATTTGTAAATGAATGGACGAACAAGTGAGTAGGATTCTATCGATAGATAATGTGTCCATTAATGACTACTCACCTGAAAGATTTATTACCTAAACTCTTCGATTGAACTGGTGTGAAAACAATAATAAATCACTTAACTAACATAAAATATCAGATACGAAAAGAAACATGATTAAATCTTATAAGCGATTGGAGGATATAAATTTGTTTTAGGTCGTTAATGAATTAAGATCTATCCAAAGAAACCAGAAATTTTAGACCATATAAATAACCACTATCAAAGGGTCTTCATTGTTTGGACAACTTATCTTAATCAAAACATTATTTACTAATAGCTCAAAGATATTTTGTGATTCGACCTGTATCTCAGCGATCTTCAGAGGAAATTATTGCGAACGTTCTAGAATATGTTCAATATGAAAATATTCCATCCTAGATTTCGTTACTTTTGTTTCTGGACATATATTACATTTTAATACATGAAAAAAGAAGAAAAAAGAAATATAACAGAGTCAAAATGAAACAAATCGTTTACAGTTGTTTCCAATTTAATTGTTTTGTGTTCTTTAAACATGCATCTGCCTACAGTAGTAAGAGATAATATCAATGTTTAGTATAGTAATTATTCAAAGGTAAGTTGTTTTGAAAATAAAATTAATTATGAAGTCGGCAGTACATGATAACCTAGTGAACTTTCATTTTACCAGTCATATGATTTTGTATTATGATAACTATTCATTGAGATTATTTGAAATCAACTAAACATTGAGAAACTCATATGGTATTGATAAAATAAATAACACTTTATGTACCATAAAGTACTATAGCAACTATCCTACAGTCAATTTGGATTGTGGTTGATTTCGGTTAAGCCTTTTTATTAACTTAATTAACAGACAATGTTATTCGAGCAGTAGCAACTTGTCTATTTCTTTGTACTATTATGATCACTATCTTGTTCATATAAACGTGTACGCTTAATCACATAATAGCTTACGCACATATCTCTTTCTAGCTAAAGTGCTGATAGCTTAAATATCGCTTAATAAATCATTCTCTTCCCCATACATATATGTACTCGAATCCTACTGTCAGCATTTGGTTTGCCTAGCTTCGCCTTATTCTTTTCGACTATAAATTCGCCTCTGTATGTGCTCACACACACACACACACATCCGCTTCCCTGCTTCAAATTCGCTCGATGTGTTTATAGCTTTGTGATTTGTGCTAGGCACAGGAAAAACGTCTGAGTCTTTCAAAGCTGTCCGCCGTTTCGTTTCAACAACCTTGAACGGCCTTACAAGAGGCGGTCATTCGGTATTTCGATTGCAGTAGGTTTGTCGGGTTGCATGAGCTTTAAGTTTTTTTCATATTTAAGTCGTATTTCGCTGCATTAAAAAGCACAAAATAACTGCCAAAAGTATTCATTTAGCATTCTCTGTTTTGTAGTGTACACGTTAGCCCTATTATTGCTTCGTAACTTGATATATGATCCCAACTGCTGTAGGAAACCTCAACGAAATGTCAAGTTACCGGTAAATCTTAAATATTTGTAGTACTTCCTTCGGTTATTATTGTTTCAAGGAATAACTTTTTTATAATTAATGACTTGATAAACGGTGAATTTTACTAGCCTGAATTAGTAATGTTACAAATAACCAAATTAAGCTTGCTAAACATTCACACAGGTTGTCAGCAACAAACCTGTCAAACTAATAATAAGCTGCAATAAGTGTTACGTAACAAGAACAAACATTACGAAAATTAACGTGAGACGGAAAAAACTGTTAATACCTGATAAATAACGACATCCCAAAATCCTT